ACCCTCTTCTTCATCGTCCTGCTGAGCCGAGATCTGTTTGGCCGCACTGCTCTTCTTTGCCCCCTTCTTGTTCTTCTTCCGACCACCCCCAAGCCTCCCTCGTCTTCTGCATCCACGCGACAACCAGCATTTTTCTTGTACCGACTAAAGCCACAGTGCGGACAACTCGTCAAATTCTCATACTCATTGCCCCGATACAGGATGCAGTGGTTAGGGCATGCATCAAAATTTCTAAGCTTCATCGCCACTGACCGGATCAGCTTCTTGGCCCGATAAGTATTGGCGGGCACCTTGTTAGCCATTGGGTACGTGGTGGCAAGGTAACTTAACAACTCATTGAAGCTATTGTTAGACCAACCATGACAAGCCTTCAACATCAACATATGGAGGTTCAAACGGAGCGCCGTGCACTCCTTCGGACAATCGCCGCCGTCCTTATAGAGAGGATCAACTGCCGCCTGCTTCAACTCTCTGAAATTCTCCAACCACTTTGGGCAACCCAACACAACGTCGTCTTCATCGAAGTGTTTGACTAGATCTTCAACAAGCTGCACATCCTCAGGTTGGCTCACAGTATCCTGACCATCCCCACCGTCGCCGGCTTCGTCGGCCATGTCTTTCATTAGATCATCCACCGTGATGTAATCATGACAACTGTTGTCACGACAACTGTTGTCACTGTCGGCTGGCGCAGCTGCTGCTGAAGATGAGGAGGAGCCAGGTGCTCCTAAAGGATCTTTATTCACCGGTGGTGCTGTCGTCGTCGGCGTCGAAGAGCTCACTCCAGATGCACCGCCATTCGCACCAACTCTTTCACCGTGAAATGTCCAGACTGTGTAGCCCTCGACGAAACCATACATGATCAAATGAGTTTGCACCTTGCTATCTCAGTGGGCTTTCTGGTTCTTGCAACGAGAACATGGACATATGGTTGTCATTCGCTTCAGTCTCTCACGGTGAGCTTTACTAGCAGCAATAAACTTTCTTAATTCAAAGAGGTACCGCAGATCATTCACTCTATCCATCCGGTACATCCATTCTGACCTATCCATCATACCTGCGAACATTATCCGTCACAATCAACATTAAATAAAGAAGAATTAGGAGAAATTGATGATTTTTACGTCTAAAATCATGAAAAAGAGAGGAAATGATGATGTGAAAGATGAAGCATGCATGTATGATGAATCTAAAGTTAAAGAAATACATGACATCGTTTTTTCCATTAAAATTGATCTAGATCTAGATCTAGAGAGAACTCTAGGTGATGGAAATAGAGAGAGAGGATGGAAGGAGAGAGGGAGAGCCTTTATGAACCTCTTCTGATGTTCTCCTCCCTCAAATCCAAGCCCTTCAACTCAAATCAAAAGTTTCCTCAAATTTTAGGGCAAAGCCTCCCCCCCATGAGTTTGAGAGAGGAAGACCCGTGGAGAAGATGAAGGGGTGGTGCTGTGTATTTGTACAGGCTATACCGCGGTGGGCAAGATAAAGCGCCCGCCTCGGTAAATCAACTCTTTACCGCGGCGGGCAGTTTAAAGTGCCCGCCATGGTAAATCATATTAACCGCGGCGGGCGATTCATAACGCCCGCCGTGGTAAATAACGATTTACTGCGGCGGGCAAGTAAGGTGGCCCGCCGCGGTAAACCCTTTTCCCGCAGCGGGCGCCTCGGTGGCCGGCCTCGCTGGCCGGCCACCGGTTAACCGTGGCGGGCAAAAGAGGTGCCCGCCACGGAGCCCATTTTGGCCACGCTGCGCAAATTGATTCCTGTAGTAGTGTAATTTTATTTGCATTGCAATATGTAGATGTTATTGCCACACTTTTACAAATGGTCGCGAATACTTGACAATTTTGCAACACATTTGATTAGTTGCATGAATTCGTCACTTGAGTTGCAATAGAGTTTTATCTGTCGCATCGAAGTTCTGGATCGTTGCATCTTCTAAGGTTGTATTGCCACAATTGTTAGTCGTCGTTAATTTGTGGTCTACATGCCACCGTCTACCTGAGGGAACAAGACCCTCGGCGATTTGGTTGGAAGCTTGATAGTGAAGACGACAGCCAACTGATCTAGGAGAGGCCATCTTGGAGACCCACTTACGCATGGGGAAGGCCCGACGGGAGCTATCCATGAAGTTACCCGACAAGGAACTTGGCCCTTACGAGGACATCCTTGTGTGGGGCTCTAACGAGGACTAGGGGGAAGCTTGCGTGCTTCTCGTTACCTCGGTAAAAGTACTGGCTTCATTGAATGGGACATTGCATCTCTATCGCCCTTTAGCTTTCACACTTAATTTATGTACCTTGGTTGTGTGCTTACTTTCCTAGCTTAGTGCGATAGGCTAGTTGATAGGATTGGAACATTGGGTGCATAACTCTTTTGTGGTAGATATAGTAACACATCTAGTAAAACCTTAGTTGCACACCTAGATAGTTTATCTATTGCATAGGTTTTGACTAGGTTGTTTTAGAGGCTATAGTTTAGAAATGTTTTTTAAGTTGCCTAATTCACCCCCTTAGGGGTCAAGGTCCCCTCGCCTACTAAGACTTGTGTCGACGTGTGCATGTTTGTTCGACTCTTGGTGGCGCTATTAGCACACAACAATCTGGCTAGCCACAACGACCTTGGTATTGGCATGGTCTTCAGTCTGCAACAGCTCCATGAGCTCAGCTTATGAGCTATGTGTGGTGGTGGACGATGAGCATCTTCACCTACTAGCTTAGCGGATGCAGCTGTGTTTTGCCACACCCATTGGTTTCTAACCATGCATCGTGGTGCTTGCAGGAATGGATGATGAGTAGTGGTGCGACCCTTTTATCCAGGTGTCAGGTGGAGTGTGTTGGTTGAATGCCTTGGCTAGGGTTAGCCAAAGCCGATGACGGCGACACTTTAGGTGTGATTCCCTTCCTTGAAAGCGTTATCAAGGCGCCTCTCCTTATTATTATGTGGAGTTCTTCTGAGGAAACTGTTAGAGTGTGCAACAGATCCTCTGGCCCAACTCGCTATACACACGAGCTAGCGCCCCCTATGCCCAGGTCTACTGGAGCCCACAACATTCCAAGGCCTTAAGTCTAACTCAACCCAAAAGACTAGTATGTATGATAGGTGAGGACTGCACCCGCCTTAAATGTTGTGGTGCCCCAACATCAATTACGATGTGGGATTAAACCTAACAGAAACTCGACCTCGGATTCTTAGGTAGGCGACAATATTGCTTATCATCGTATCCTTCCAGAACTTGAAATTGTCGATCCATGTCCCACGTACCCGTTCCTCGTACCTTCCATACCAGGAAACCTTACAATAGTGCCCGCAGAAAGGTAGATATTTGGCTTAACCTCATGTGCTATCAATGCACATAAGGCTCCTCACAAGCCTTTATAATATGCTGCATTATTTGATTTTGTTGAATTTGAAATGGCTCCGATCTTCCAGACCCGTGCCAAGGTTTTCATGTAAGGTGGATGTGCAGGAGTTGGTAAATGTCAAATATATATGACTCCTCGGAGATCATCCACATGTCTTGAATTAGTGTACATATCTATTAATCTTGCAGTGTCCTTCAAAGTTGGTTCCCTCTACTATTGCTCCCCAAATATACCAAAACATCTGGAACATCATAAAGCTTCTATCATTGTGCTCTCAGCAATCCTCACAACTTCATCCACTAAATCAACTGGAACATCATATGCAAGCTTTTCGAATGATCCAACTACCGCCTGAAGTGCAGTGGCTCAAGAAGAGCTATTGCATTTGCCCTCTATCTGAAATAGTCATCATGATCCTCTCCACCCCCAACCACTATGCGTAAGAATAGCGGTTTGGTCATCCTAAACCTTCTCCTGAAGAAGTTGTCATTGTACATAAGAGGATCAACGACATAATTATCCATAATGCTCAGATTGCCACCAAACATGTCCCTTCGAACTACATGGTGACCCTGCGAGATCCTCAATGATACACAAGAGGATCAGTGAAGTAATTAGCCATGATGCACAATTTACCACCAAACATGTCCCTTCGAACTACTTCAGCAGGATCCTCGATGCTTCTTCTTCTGCCATTCTCCATCATCTACATCACAAAGCATAGATGATAGAATATGATCGTCATTGCCAGAATCTTCCTCTTCCTCCCACCATTGCTTAGTTAAATCATCATTCTCCGAGAAGACCATATACAAAAAATTACAAAGTTGTAAATGTCATAACCATGTTTGTGTTGGATACTGCATAATCATTCTCAATGTCAAACAACATAAATGCTTCCACAAAAATAATCCCACAAATATAGATAATTCATCTAGCATATAGTTTGATAAACATAAATATCTCTAAAACATAAGTAACTCTAAAAGCATAAAATACTTTGGCTGACATAAATAGAGCCACAAACAATTGGCCATACTATAATCAAAGGATAGCACTGCCTCCACCCATGCTAGCACCCACGTTAATGTCTGCCATCTTTTGAGATGCAACATCTGTCCTCAATTCCTCATTGGTAGTACATAGGCCTTTTGTTCTGGCCCCACAGTGGAGACGTCGTAGAACATGATATTCTGTTGATGCTTTCACATCAGCTTGCATTCCTCAAGCATAATCTTGCACTCTTCCTTGCGCTCCTGGATCATCTTTCTCTCCTTCCGCCTCTCTTCCTTTAGTTTCTCTTTTTGAAAGATATAATCTTGTACAAGTTCCTTGCATGTTCCAATTTCTCCTCCACGTACTCTTCATTTTCTCCTTGCTTGCTTCTAAGGATAGGCATCTTTAACTGAAAACCGGACAGAACTGGTTTATTTGGTTTCTGTTTCTGGGAAGATCGGTGTTTGGTGCCCGAGGTGGTTTCCACATCAAGCAAAACCGAGCAGCCATACTCCCTTTCATCCCTCATGTGCGTAGTCCATCAATAAATCAAGCCTGCGTGGCCTCTAGTGTCCCTTCGCTCCTATCAGTCCACCTTAGCCCAATGATGCAGCTATACTCAAGCCCATATCCCACTCAGCTCTCACATCTCTCTATCCTCAATGGGACACTCCTATCCCTAGCTGCTGTGGTGGTGGCGGTCACAGTCGTGGCATAAGGCAAGCAGCGATGAGCCGACAAGCAGGAAGCACAAAGACGATGTGTTGTGAGGAGACGATTGATCAGAGGGTCGAGAGCTACAGCATGCAAGGCAGTCATGTGTGGTGATGTCGCAAAGTGAGCATCCCAAGGAGGCAGCGCCATAAGCAGCAAGTGCAGCATGACTGGTCGGTGAGCACTGTTAGTTGTATGGATATTTGTACCTCCCTTATCATCCTATTTGTATAACTAGCTAGTGGTTAGCTCACCTATAATCTGCATTTTTTCTCTTACAAAGTTTCTTATGCATAAGCTGAACTTACAGCTTGCTTCAGTTCCCTTCTCTCTTCTTCCCTGTCTCATACACCTCAATATAAAGGTTACATATAGCCCTTTACTGTAATTGCTCTCGTGGGCCATTCCACTGGTCCTTGGAATCAGACAGTCCTAGCCCAGGAATAATATAACCAAAGCAGTCCACAGAAAAGAGCAGTCACATTTAACGAAGCCTAGGCTAAATATTTGTCATTAGCATAATGTAGCCCAGAGAAGAGCATGCAATTCAGTCTGAGCGACTGAAATATCAAGGCACGAGCAAGTCATAGTGTCATACACTATCTAGCAGTCGTCGCATACAGATGATATCCAAGCATGAAGTGTAGGACATACGTACATGAGTCATTGTCACAAGGTAGCAGTAATAGATTAAGGTTGTTGGCTGATGACAGCATATCATGAACACAGGTCCAAGCCTACACACACACACACACACACACACACACACACACACACACACACACACACACACACGCATATCTCAGATTAATGATTATTATTCTTCCTAATTCAACTTACAAAAGTAAACGTTATTGCACCAAAGTGGAAATGAAAGAAAATAACTAAGTTGAAAGCAAATTGAAAGGTGTATAAAGATAACAGATAACAACATATCATAAACTCCGTGGCATAACACGTTGTTATATTAGCAGCTCCCTCGGATGAAGCCAACCTTTCCTCCGGCCACGTCGTAGACCACCTCCGTGGACGCCAGCGTATACGTCCCAATCACGGCGGAGAAGACATCGCTGGCGTCCAAGGAGGAGAAGGCTAAGCAGGCCATGGTGAACGGAGCGGCGGCGGGGTCGTCATAGTACAGCATCTGGTCCAAGTCGATTAGCAGCCTCTCGCCGTTGCTGAACTTGAACCAGAGGAGCGGTATGGTGAGGCCACGCACCCCGGTTAAGTTGAAGCACGTGTCGAAGCCATCGAACCCCTGCGACAAGCGGTTGTTCTGCGACATCTGCTTCCGGAAGGAGTCGCGCAGCAGCATGTACGCGTCCGGCGTCAGCATGGTGAATGTAGTCCCCACGTCCAGGATGGTGCTATTGTTTCCGAAGGTCCCCGCCGGGATCGGGATGTCCTCGACACCGAGGCTCATCCCGACGAGGTCGATGAAGTACATGCTCGCCAGCTCCGGGTTGCCGTTGCTCGCCAGCGGGGCGTGTGCTGTGACGTGCTTATCTCTGACGGTGGCATCAACGCCGAGGGAGAGGTAGCCCTGGGAGTTCGGGGATTTCGGCAGGCAGTAGGAGAAGGCAGCGGCGGGGGCCTGCCCCGACGATGACAGCTGCGACGGTAGTGAGTTGCGGTCGCGGCTGAGGTCGAGGGTCCCGGCCACCGGCAGGTCATCAGGTTCATCCACGTCCAGGCAGACGAATCTGAAGTCTTGGATGACTGTGGACGGCGCCAGCGTGAGCACGTCCTCCGCAAAAGCGCCCTCGATGATCGAGTATATGCTGTCGAGCGGGCAGAAGGAGTCGCCGGAGCAGTTGGTAGGACAGTCCGGCGCGCCGCATAGGACATGGGCGAACGTCGAGGACCGCGACGGGTCGAACGCCGGATGACAGTCGTCAGAATCTGAGGCGCACGGCTTGCACCGGACCAGGGACGCGCCGATGCTGCTGGTGTCGAGGAACACTGGGAACTGCTGCTCCGGGGTGCCGTAGCTGACGAGCACGCTGTAGTGCAGCGCGCCCGGTAGCCTCGTCGGGTCCGACGAGCCGTTGGTGGGGATTATGGTCACGGCCGGTGACAGGGTCGACGCAGCCACCAGAGATGATTGTGAGGAGAAACGGTGCCGGATGCGGGAGGCATCACGACGCAAGACATCTGCCGCCGTCAGGGACAGGAGCCTGTGCAACGGCGAGCATGTGCTCTGCGGGTGCACTACGGGTAGCTTGTTGTTTCCAAGGCCTGTAAAAGTTCAAAATATATATAACAATATATAAGAGTATATCTAAGAGTATTTCTTAAACCCACTCATCTCCAAATCATTATTTGGAGAGCGACTTTTATATCTTTTGAACCTCCAATAATTTTTTTATATGTTGTGCACCCTCTGTAGAGCTAATTCTTCTCTTCGCCTTTGGCTAGGAAAATTAGAATTTCGGTCTTCTCCATCTGAGGTCATTTGAAAGTTTTTGAATTTTAAATATGAAAATTCAAATATAATTTTCCTTGGATAAATGATTTCAATTAAAAAACTTATCAACTACAAAGCTGTATAACTCTTTGGGGTATACAACTTTGGTTTTTGTCATGTTATATTGAATATATACGCTCTACCTGTTGCGATGGACGACGAAAAGGTGGTTGCAGTAGGCACCGTGGAGGCCTGCTGTGAGTTGCCAGATGACTTGGTAGGTCTCTTGGAAAAAATCTGTCTGGACCCTAGCATGTAGCTTGCATGGGAGGAGGCGCCATGTTGAGAAGGAAGCAGAAGCACAAGCAGGCAGACGAAGGAAAGAGAAGCAACGGAGGGAGTCATTGTGCTAGTAGTGCAATACTGCTACTTACATGAATGATGAGTCGTAGCGAGTGCACGTATATATACGGAGGACGAACGCGGCGTGTTCCGAATGATCGTCTTGAGTATCCTCGCACACCTCACAAATAAGCGGCACGACCGACGCGACGAAATTTGTAACCTCGGAAGCATGCAAACGATGATTATTGGAAAAATCACGACTTGCTCTGCATGCTTAATTCCCCAATAATGAAATGCAAATCACGACTTACAGCTTGCTGGCATGCTGGTTCCCCAATGCAATGCAAAGGATTGTTACTGGAAATCAATACTTGCTGCTTGCTGGCATGCTGCTTCCCTAATGCAATGCAACAGCAAAGCTGCGATGTTCCCCAGATTAATTCCCCAATGCTAGAGAAAGCGGCCAATGCAAGAAACAAAATATCACATATTGGCCGGCTGGCCGTGCAGGACAATGTCAAACGCGCCAGATGTTGGCCGTTGTGTTCTATGTGCATGCGTTGCATGATTTGGTGTCGTTAAGTTCCCCGGTAATTAATCTGGAATTACATGCCAAATTAACAGGGTTAGATCAGTACATATGGGATGTTGGTGTTTTGAGATTTGTATATATGTCAAAAGTAAAAACAATTTAAACGAAGGTAAGAACTTTGTGAATTCAGAATTTATATATTCAACCTAGTGAAATCGACTAAGGCGTAAACTAGACCCGTAACCGCAAAAAAGGTCAGTGGACCCCGCGACCCCATGTCACTCTCCCTAAGAGGCGATATGGGTGGCAAGCCAACCATCATAGCCACCGCCGCCGCTCCCTCCCCCCTTGCCTCGCCACCGCTCACCTCCCAAGGAAGACAGCGATGGGGGGTCTCATGCTAGGCCTCAATCTGTCCAAGAATGTTCTAGAGTGTGGCCAATGCTAGTAGTACCGGAAGTGGTGGTCGCTGGCGTGAAGAGGGTCCTTTGTGGGCGCTCTAGTGGGCGTGTCCGCTGAGTACCGCCTGGAAGGACACCTCTCGCCATCTACTCCCTCATCCTCCCCTCTCTTGGTTTTCTCACGAGTGCCTGGCAATGGCCTGTCAGCGGCTCTTCGGCTACTGTCGGATTCGGCATCCTTGCGGCTGGATCTACACACTATCCCCCGGTTTTCTCCTTTTTTGGTTTTCTCCTTGTCGAAACTTTTGTTCATCCTCAAATTTTACATGAAGATGGATGCTTGCATCAATGTATCCATTCATATCACTACTACAGAAATTAATTGTAGGGGCGGCTCTAGAGCCTCTGTAGGGGCGGCTGCGCCAGCCGCCCCTCCCAGGGTGTTCCTACAGAGGGTGCCTCTGTAAGAGCGGTTTCCTGACCGCTCCTGCAATTCCCTCTGTAAGGGCGGCTGGTGTTTTCAGCCGTCCCTACAGTGACCTCTGTAGGGGCGGCTGGTGTTTTCAGCCGCCCCTACAGTGACCTCTGTAGCGGTGGCTGGTGATATCAGCCGCCCCCGCCCCTGTAGTGGACTTCTGTAAGGGCGGCTGTATCACCAGCCGCCCCTGCTGTGTGTATTTGTAAGGACGGTTCAATCAAGAACCGCCCCTATAGTGGATTTTCCAGAAAAAAAAATAATTCAAATTCAAATCTGACCATATATATATATATATATATATATATATATAATTCAAATTCGAATCCGACCGCCACAAATATACATATATACATCCATAAACACAAGACCATTATTTAGAATATCATCACAAGTCATAATTCACAAAAGTCCATCATTACAACATAGTCCATTATGAAGTCCATCATTATAACATAGACTGCATATGAACTTATGGATTCTTTTCAAATCTGAACTTATGGATTCTTTTCAAATATGAACTTATGGATACAGTTTTCATAATCTGTGAGTCAAGTATCAATGTCAAAGCTTGGATTAGCAGGGTTACCTAAGTTCATATTTACACACTGAAAATTCACTAACAGAACACTAGCAATATACTAGTAAAGATCTTTTACCCTTCCCGGCAAACGCTATGATAACTGTTACTGTAGCTTACTTGAGCTGCATCTGCATATCCTCTGATCCTTGCAAGGACTTGCAGGCCAAGCTCTTGAGCCTTCTGCCCACTCAACAAAACTAATGCAGCAGCCCCATCACTGATCCATATAAAAGCAAATTAGATATGATCAATTGTAGCTACACAAGCGGATAGTAGGCAGTACACAATGGACAGTACCAGTCAATGGAAAAAATAGCAAGTGCAAAGTGAGATCAAAGAATTTTGAAGACAACCAAGAAGAAATTATACACATAGACTGATTTTGCTTTGAATGGGCATAAGACATTACAAACACTTCTTTACTTTCTTATGTGATAATAAATCATTTACAAGAAGAAAAGTTACAATCTATTTAACAAATTAGAGCATACCAAGCCCCTAAAACATAATAGGAGTGCCAATTCATAAGAACAAACACAGGTCAAATATGGTATGCACAGGACAACAACAAAAATAACAAAATGCAAGCATAATGTAAAGAAAGAAGTTAACTATCATCATAGCTAATCACAAGAATGATAATACAACTGAAGATAAACTTAAAAGGACTTATACTAGAAGCATTTTCAGCTGTAACGGTACCACCATTCTCCTTGAAACTTAGGCGAAGTTTCTTCAGTTTTGCTGGGTCAAACTAAGAGACACAAGAAATTGAAGATCCTTATTATATTGTAAGTGTTTATTGGATCTTTCGTTTAATATGTCTAAAGTTTGATCAATGTTGCTATGACATTTTCTTAGTAACATGTGGAGCTGCAGCTTCCAATATAATAAGAATTGAAGATCCTTTGTATCATTAGCCCATATACAGCATCCTATTTGACAAACGACAATTACTTCATATATACAAGATAAAAAATGATAGGCAAGTAACAAGTGAAACAGCACGCTATAAATATATATAATTATCAATAAACAAGGATTGATCAGTGTATTGGCGTTTAGCTCAGAACAGCCTACACAACAATAAAAGGGCACAGCTTCATCGTTTCATCTGAATTTTGATCTTAGTTATTATGCCTTGTGCTTTCTCTACAGTGCCTTTTTATCCTGAAGAGAAAACTCGACTCTGAATTGTCCCTTACTGAAGAGTTGAAAGAACATAGACCTGAACTAGCATCAATTATCAAGCACTTTGACTAAAAGATACAAGGACACCAACTATAATACTAGGAAGAACTACACGTGTCTAGATTTTAGGACACCTATACATATAACATACTGAATTATGCATACTACAAAATAAAACACATCTCACAATCTACTTATCTGATCCATAATACAGGAGCAAAAGTCAGCATTCCACTAATTCAAGATTCCTCACAAAATAGCGTAGAACTAGAACTAAATCATCATATGCTAATTATATGTAACCACATGTAGCAGCAGTAAAATCACGTAGCCCGGAAGATTGCTTCACTGTATGAGCAAACCAGTTTCAGGCTGTTTAATGACACACAAACTCCTAATTTCACAACCACATCTGACGACGCTCCAAAACACGGAATTACACCAATACAACTAAATGAAAATGAGGCAGAAGCAGATGGGGGGGGAGAGAAAAACAGACCTGGTACCGCTCCTGGAGCATGTGGATGTTGTACTGTTTGTCGGGCCTGAGCTCCTGCACGAGCTGCGGGTTCTTGAGGAAGGCGACGAGCGGGGCGGCGGCCTCCTCGAGCGACCTAAGCCTGGAGACGACCTCGGCGCGGCGCTTGACCATGTCCTCAGGGACGTCGTCGGTGCCGTCGAGGGACTTGTGGATGTCCATGGCATAGTCGACCATGTTGGTGCCGCTGAGGAGGCGGATCTTGGCCTCCAGGAACTCGGGCTCCGAGTAGAGCTGCCGCTCCTGGAGGAACTCCAGCAGCGGGAACACCAGGTGCCGGTCCAGCTGCGCTGCCATCAGCGCCGTGAGGTCGTGCTCCGCCATGGCTGGTGCTCCGAGCTCTCTTCTAGCTGCCTCCCGGAGGCGGCTAGGGTTAGGGTTCCTTTCGGGTTCGAGGGGGGCGGCGGCGCGGGGAGGAAGGAAGCGAGGAGGGGAAGCGGAGAAGGGTTGGGGTTGGGTTTTGGTGGTTTTGTGGTTCGGCTGCCGATCGATGTCGTCCCGCGTTTAAACGGACGGCCAGATGAGGACTCTTCTTTTGGACCTTTTTTTGGTAGAAATTGGAGCTGGCTTGGTGGCTTGTTCCAGAAGTAGTTGGATACAACTTATCTTTTTCTTTTACTAGTTAACAAGACATTTGTATTTTTTTTTGCTATTTCTATCTTGCTTGTCGTTATCATCTTATCCTAGTATTTCTATGTTTATTTGAAACCAACATTTTTTATGCTTGTATCCGAATTTTTTGTTGTATATAAATTCATTTGTTTTTTTATTTTTCGTTTCAATATATGGGATTTTTTTGAAGCATTTGTCAGCCTGTTCGGTTGGGCTAAAACGATCGTATACGATCGTGGATTATTACTGTTGGCTGGTTTGGAGTGAGAGAAAAATATTGTTCTAGCTGGAAATTTACGATCGTTTACGACCAAGCGAATAGGGCGTGTATTTGTATCCAATTTATTTTTGTTTTGATGAGTTCTATTTCTTTTTTTACTTTCATAATTTTAAATCCCTCGTTAGTTTTTTTAGCAACTTTGTACATGTATATATATTCTATTTTCTTCTATTTTCTAATTCTAATTGGACCTGCGCTTAGCCGGAGGAGGGGAGCAGCTCCGGGCCTGCGAGGACGATGACAAGAAGGAACGGGAGCGCGACCGGGAGCGGGACGAGATGGAGCCGGAGGAGACGGAGTGGGACGGCGAGCGGGAGGAAGAGCCCGAGGAGGAGCGAGACGCGGAGCGGCCACGCCGAGGCTTCGCCATCGTCCCCGGCGGCGGCAGTGGCGGCGGCCGGGCGAGCGTCGGCGACCCTGTGGTGTTGGGCTAGGGTTTTGAGCGGGTTGGGGGAAGGAAGAGATTGGGAGTCTATGGTTCCCTCCAGACTCCAGTTATTCAACCCACCCGTGTCGATGTGGAAAGAGCCCATGTCCATGTCACATGTAAATAATAAATAATACAGTACAAAATTTTATAATTTTTTTATAGATATATTTACATATACAATAACTAAAACAACTACAACAGTTTAAAATTGTAAAATTGAACCTTTAAAAATGGGGAAAATTAAATTTTAAAAAATTAAAATAAAAAATACTAAAATAATTTTGAGACACCATCTCAAATGAAAATTTGATAAACATCAAAGTTGTAGAGGTCATGAAGATCTACAACTTTTATTTTGATCATCTTGTCATTTGATAAAATTTGAACCTTTCAAATTTGAAATTTTAAAAAATGACAAGTTCGAACCAAAATTTGAGACCCAAAATGATTTCAACATAAAAAGTGGTGAATACCAAAGTTGTTCAACTCATTAATATCTACAACTTTTCTTTTAGTCATCTTGTCATTTGACAAAATTTGAACCTTTTAAATTTGAAATTTTGAAAAACGACAAGTTCGAACCAAAATTTGAGACCCAAATTGATTTCAACGTAAAAAGTGATGAATACCAAAGTTGTTCAACTCATGAATATCTGCAACTTTTATTTTGGTCATTTCTTCATTCGATAAATTATTAGCACACATTGTTCACTAATTTTACACATGTCTCATATAGTTTATAAAACTTTATGAGAGATGTGTCACATTTGTGAACAATGTCATTACTACTTTGTCATATGAAGAAATGACCAATATAAAAGTTGTAGATCTTGATGAGTTATTCAACTTTGGTACTTATCACTTTTTCAGCTGAAATCATTTGGGGTACCAAAATCTTGTCTGAAGTTGCATTTTTTTGAAATTCAAAATTTAAATTGCTCAAATTTTTCTTATGTATATATTGACAAAACCAACAAAATAAATTGATAGAGCATGATTTTAGACAAATTTAGGAAAAAAAACCATCAGATTTGGAGTTAGTATGAGGAATAAAAACTAGTTACAAAGTTGACCCACGGATTAAAAAAAGAAATCACACTGTTCACTTTGATCATGTAAGGATCATTTAGAACAGTGTGATTTCTCTTTTCAATCTATGGGTAAACTTTGTAACTAGTTGTTCTCCCTCATACTAACTCCAAATGTGATGGTTTTTTTTCCTAAAAATTTCTAAAATCTTGCTTCAGCATTTAAGTTTGATCAAACTTGGATGTGACAATGTTTTACACATTTTAAAATTTAAAATTTAAAATCTGACAAGTTCAAACCAAATTTTCAAACCCTAAATGATTTCAGATGTAAAAGTGATGAATACAAAAGTTGTTCAACTCATCAAGATGTATAACTTTTATTTTGGTTATCTTGTTATTTGATAAAATTTGAACCTTTCAAATTTGAAATTTTAAACAATGACAAGTTCAAACCAAAATTTGAGACCCAAAATGATTTCAATATAAAAAGTGGTGAATACCAAAGTTGTTCAACTCATTAATATCTACAACTTTTATTTTAGTCATCTTATCATTTGACAAAATTTGAACCTTTCAAATTTGAAATTTTGAAAAACGACAAGTTCGAACCAAAATTTGAGACCCAAATTGATTTCAACGTAAAAAGTGATGAATACCAAAGTTGTTCAACTCATGAATATCTACAACTTTTATTTTGGTTATTTCTTCATTCGATAAATTATTAGCACACATTGTTCACTAATCTTACGCATGTCTCATATAGTTTATAAAACCTCATGAGAGATGTGTCATATTTGTGAACAATGTCATTACCACTTTGTCATATGAAGAAATGACCAATATAAAAGTTGTAGATCTTGATGAGTTATTCAACTTTGGTATTTATCACTTTTTCAGCTGAAATCATTTGGGGTACCAAAATCTTGTCTGAAGTTGCATATTTTTGAAATTCAAAATTTAAATTGCTCGAACTTTTCATATGTATATATTGACAAAACCAACAAAATAAATTGATAGAGCATGATTTTAGAAAAATTTAGGAAAAAACCCATCAGATTTGGAGTTAGTATGAGGAATAAAAACTAGTTACAAAGTTTACCCACAAATTAAAAAAAGAAATCACATTGTTCACTATGATCATGTAAGGATCATCTAGAACAATGCGATTTCTCTTTTTAATCTATGGGTAAACTTTGTAACTAGTTGTTCTCCCTCATACTAACTCCAAATGTGATGGTTTTTTTTTCCTAAAAATTTCTAAAATCTTGCTTCAGCATTTAAGTTTGATCAAACTTGGATGTGACAATGTTTTACACATTTTAAAATTTGAAATTTAAAATTTGACAAGTTCAAACCAAATTTTCAAACCCTAAATGATTTCAGATGTAAAAGTGATGAATACAAAAGTTGTTCAACTCATCAAGATATACAACTTTTATTTGGTTATCTTGTCATTTGACTAAATTTGAACCTTTAAAATTTGAAATTTTAAAAAATGATAAGTTCGAACCAAAATTTGAGACCCAAAATGATTTCAACATAAAAGTGATGAATATCAAAGTTGTTCAACTCATTAATATCTACAACTTTTATTTTAGTCATCTTGTCATTTGACAAAATTTGAACCTTTCTAATTTAAAATTTTGAAAAACGACAAATGGGCACTGCAGGGGCGGCTGGTGATTGAGCCGCCCCTACAGATCAGTCCCAACTGTAGGGGCGGCTCCGGTTACCAGCCGCCCCTACAGTGCCATCTGTAGGGGCTGCTGGGCTGCTGGGGCCCGAGGACGCCCACTGTAGGGGCGCCTCCAACCCAGCCGCCCCTACAGTAAAAATGTTCCCGTTCCTACAGTAAGAATTTGGCATAGTGTATTTTTGGTTGAATTTTTAAAGCACCTTTTTCATGGGTTTTTTGAATGGGAACATGGGAGCAGAAGCAGGCAGAAGAAGAAGAGAGAAGCCACGGCGGAGGAGGGAGTCATTGTACTATGCTGCCACGTACATGCATGATCGAAATGGCGGGGATTATGGTGGCTGTCGGGGAAGAGCCACCACAGACTGTGAGGCGGAACGCTGCCGGATGAGGGAGGTGTCACAACGCAAGACATCTATCACCGTTAGGGACGGCATCCCGTGCAACGGCGAGCATGGGCTCAGCCGGTGCAGTAGAGGAAGCTTGTTGTTTCCCAGGCTGTAAAAGTGCAACATATACATAATAATATAGATATATAAGTCTTTCTTAACTAAACTTACTCTCTAGATTATCATTTAGATAGCTATTTCGTTACCATAAAAAAGACAATCATTGTCGGTTATTTTAAAACCAGCACCGATAATGTCACTGCTGGAAACCACAATTTCAGTTTTGATTTTTTTTTACGGTTATTCAAAATACCGTCATGGTATTTCTAGTTGTTTTTGACAGTTTAGAAAACACACAGGGGTAATTCAATGCACTACGAGTCCTTAAACTTTTGGTGATTCTCATTTATGTCCTGAAACAAAAAAAAATGTGATTATCTAGGTCCTCAATCTACACAGTGCATGAAGAGTAGGGCTGCAGCTGGGATCAGCTATATAGCTGCCAAGTAAATCGTTCACCCTATCTGTATACTACTTCAGTCAAGAAGTACTTCATGTTGTATAATTTTCCAAACAGATTTGTGTACATGGGAAATTAATGACACAAATGAACTGCCACATGGGTGAGCACCAACACAATTGCTGCGTGTCAACCATGCGGATTTGTAGAAAGCTGGGGACCTGCATTGCAAGGTAAAATCATGCGCCAATAACAGACATGCATCCGAGAGGATCAGAAGGGGATGCTAAAATTTAATTCTCCCCACCTAATGTAAAGCGCTAAAACATCAAGTTTTCTTGAATATTATCTTTATCATAGAACATCAAGTATTCTGGATGGAGGGGTTACCTTCTTACTTTGTGTACCCCGCCATGAGCGCTTCTGTAGTCATATCTATTTTCATAAGTACTAATTTTTGTCAGAACTACAATAATTTTGTAATGAACCTAGTTCCTTCCATCAGTTCATGTAATCCGATGTTTTGGTTTCAAGAATGGCTTGTCACAAAATATTATGATTCCTTTCAAACACTCTTTCATGCATCTGTACGTGCTCAGTGTATTGACTAACTTGTATCTACAATGTGCTATCATAATTAAGGAATTCATATGCATGCCAACCAATAGCCTGTAGCCCCATCATTATCTCTGTCTGCCTCCATCATCTCTTCGCCTTCTAGACCTGAATTCTACCTTTAATTTTGCACAAACTACTACGCTGGGCCTTGGTATTACATTACCCAAAGTGACCAGAATAAAACAGAGAGCACCCTCGCTCATCTGCCTCTCGGCATTCCAACCAGTTTACAACCGGGAATCAGTGGCTTTGTCGAGTGTCAGGGGCACTCGGCTAAGCCCAATTTGCCCTTGGCAAAGGCTTTGCCGAGTGCTGCACTCAGCAAAGAACACTCGGCAAATAAACCGTCGACAAAGGCGTCTTTGCCGAGTGTCTTTTGTCGGGCACTCGGCAAAGCCTTTGCCGAGTGCCGACACTCGGCAAAGTTGAAACCGAAAAAAACCCGAAAAAATGGGAATTTTTACCCAAAAAAAATGGAATTTTTTTTTATCGATGGAGGCCCCCACCGGCCAGCGCCCACCCATCTCCAACATTTTTCGCATTAATTTCATGGCTACGCGGCCGACGCGATTCGAACCCGAGACCTCCCGCTGTGCACGTACCTCCTCTACCACTACACCACACTCTAACTTGTGTCTGCGTTCCGTTTTAGTTCCCAATATATTATACTAAACCGAGTGTAAAATGCATGTTTGAGGCCCTAAACGAATTCAAATAAAAAAGTTGTAAACTACAAAGTTTTATAACTTTTCGAGATCTACACTTTTAGTTTAGGAAGTTTTTCTATCCGATGTCGTTTACAAAATTTGAATTTTAAAATTTTGAAATTCAAACATAGTTTTGCATGACAAGATGTTTTCAAATCAAAAATTTGTCAACTACAATGTTTCATAACTTTTCGAGATCTACAGAGTTTAT